GTCTACTGAAGTTAAAGGAATTAGTGGCTTTCGGGCGTGACTAAGGACTAAACGCATTTATCTCCAGCCATCTGGCATAATATGTTACGATTTATAATACGCAAAATACATATAAAATTGCGCAAGCGTTTAGGTTAATAAAAGAGCGTTTGCGACGGACGTGTTCGAGTCATAGGCATGTCGAATTAAAGTTGATATACGAAAAGCTGATTTCGGCGTCCGATAGAACTCGCTTGCGTTTTATTATTTATCAAACACGTGAAAATTACAAGGTAGCCGACAACCGGACAAACACTCAAGAGTTATTACCCAGACACAAGTCCTTGAGTCGGACGCGTGTTAGCAGTGACTACATCTATCCTTGTAAAATTTTATCGTATAGTCAACAGCGTGCCCACTTTTACATGGTCTGCGATAATGCTCACGTTTGTACCAAACGGATGCTTTGCCCTAAGCCGCAAAGGGAAGCTAGTCGACAGGCAAGTGCCAACACTAGCAAAGACTGCACGCATGAAGTCCCCGTGACATTAAAATGTGTGTATTTGCACTGCGCCGAGTTTGTCTAAGGCAGTAATAAAATGTGACGGTAAAACATAATATGTACGTACCGTAGTCACTCCTACAGAAGGCCGCGACCAATTCGGTGGAATTACACGGTCGACACGCTGCAAGAAAAGAACAGATTGAATGAGACACCGCTGTTATATTACAGTACACATTACACGCATTAATTAACGTATGAGTAAGGTGATACGATGGCAAGTTCCAACAGGCACTGCACATTGATTTGATATTGAACAGTGATTAACTGATTAGTAATTATACACCGTAACCGGGGATATATATATTATTAAATGTTACAAAACACGCTACAATATACAAATGAATAATTGGTCACAAAGAACCCTATCTGTATTAAACTCGACAATTATGGAAGGGGGGAGGCTTTCCAACGATAGGATATCTACTGATTATTCATTACGGGATCTGTTTCTAACCAACGCATCCGCGAACACGAGTGAACCCGGTAGGCCTACTCAGTGCAACCGGCGAAACCTTGCATTTAATAAAAACAACAACTCCGGGTGGTTTCTTAGAGCGAGAAATGGGCAAAAACGCCTGCGAGTAAAGTCAACACACACGAAGCATGGGCGAGACACGAGGAGGAACACCCAATGATGCAATGATATGCACGCCCGAAGTAAAAACCTGCTGAAGCAACAGGTGTCTAGCCACGATGGATGCTGCGTGGATGAATACGCACACGCCCAGCCCCGTGATAGGAATCTTCACACTCGATACATTTTCCACTCTAGAGAAATGCCTCATGCATATGCGGGGAGATGGAGAGATATATGCTGGCTTACATCTTCCGCAGAGGAACCGAATTCATTATGCACGAGAATAAAGCGTGGATTATATGAGAACACTCGCCCACGGTGATCACCAATCGCAAGATAATGGCAAATACTAAGCACTATCAGTACAACTATTACTATTACGACTATTAAGTCATGTGATATTATACAAATGTTTTGGTAGGAAACAATCACTGACTTCATTCCTAAATATCTTGAATGTATGACCCTTATAATTATATGTAAATTAATGCAACCTCACCTCAAACTATACCATACATATACTACAAATTTTCGCTTTCAAATGGCTATATACAACTGCGATGTTGATTAATTGGGACTAATATGCGACAAATGTTGAGCGAGAAATAGCATGCCCTGGGCGGCAGGGGGTCAGGATGTACTCAATGGAGACACACTGTGCAGCTTATGCGATTGAAAGAGTTTTAACCGGCGTCCTCAGCAGCGCTTGCTTCTGCAGAGCTTGTGCAAACAGTTACAGATGCCGAGTGAGCGACCACTCAACGGTCTATCCACGCAGCAGGGTACGAATGGCGAGCGGGCAAACCACTGGTCAGTCAGTAGTAACGTGACATAATCGCACTAGTGTATAAGTGCCATCTCGGACCGTTTAGCAATAGCGTGCAGTCGGACAGGCGGCAGTAGCAACCAGCCGTGAGTTCGTCTGATTTACGCCGAGACAGACTGCGAACAAGAACGCACGCACGCGCACGCACGCACGCACGCGCATACCCACTCACCCACCCACACACACACGTACGCACGCGCACACCCACCAACCCACGCACACACACACGCACGCACGCACGCACGCACGCACGCACGCACGCACGCACGCACGCACACACACACACACACACACACACACACACACACACAGGACACGGTTAGAATAGTTTGAGCAGGGATTTAACCAGGTGGCAGACATAAATAAAGTAAATTCGTTTATGCAATACCTATCAGCGTATGTAAATTTGCATTTAGCATAACACGCCCTCCATCCATTTAGAGCCTCTCAGACGATGGCGAGAGCGATAGTTGTGAAATACTCATGGTCCGGCAACCGAGGAGACCTCCACGGCGATGTATGTAAACAAGCCAGCAATAAACAAGGAGGTTTGAAGTCCGGCAACTAGAGAAACCCCCACAGCGACGCGCGCAAAGCCGGAGCTCCGCTATCGCCGCATGTAAAAACAAGCCGACAAGATGGCGGCGCTGCGAAGCAACGGGGCGCCGCGGCGCAGACGACAGCACCTGCAGCAACGAGCGAAAACGGGTTAAAGACACATTTATCGTACTCCGTCTAAATTTTGTCAAGCGCGCTGCCATCCGGTGGTTATTTGTGTCCCGGCCAGCGCCAAATGAATTGCCCCCTAATGAGTTGGAATGACTAGCACGATGAAATATCGCGCAAGCAGCCGCCAGCCGGATCGGTCGTGACCCGACAGGGTGGTGTTACAATTAATTGGCCCCCGAAGAGGGTAATTTGTCATCTAATATGCGACTTCTGTAACGCCGGTATCAGCAGCCGCGCGAATTAAAACACAACACGAATAGCCGTCGTCGTTCTTGCTCGCAACTCGGCCGCATCCCCCAACGTGTACACAATCAAAAGCGGATTATGCAAATCTTATAATATTCTGTAATATTAATCTCAGATTAATCTTAAAGGTATAAATATTACTTACTTATACTTACTTATACTTACTTAGTTACTTATTTACTCTCGCGACGCGATGACGGGCGCTGTCGTTTTTTGCGTCTAATCCGCGTGCATGCGAGGCACGCTCGCAGTTCGTGATTATTATTTTTTTAAATGGGCGTCGGATATTAATCGCTTGCGCCTGCTAGCGGACAGCGCGGCAGGATGTAGAAGGGAGGAGACGCAGTTTGTCAAAGTGGACGCGCAGAAGGAGACGCGGGGCGGCAGTGGTTAGCATCACCATCACCGCCGTGAGCATGCACAGACAACACTGATGAATAAGACTCGCGCCAGCACGCCCGCCTCTGTCACACTTATAGCTGTCAGCGGCGTCGCGACTGGGGACATCAACACAGCATGTGTGCGTGTGTGTGCGCGTACGTGCGTGCAGGCATGCCTGCGCGTGTATTGATGTGTGAGTGTGGGCGCGCGCGTATAAATATGCGTGCATGTGTGTGTGTGCGTGTGTATGTGTATGTGTGTGTGTGTGTGCGTGTGCGTGCGTGCGTGCGTGTGTGGGTGTGTGTGCGTGTGAGCGAGCGAGCGTGAGTGCGTATGTGTATGCACGCCTGCCTGTGTACCCATGCCTGTCCGTGTGCATGACCTAATACATACATCATCGCAACACACAAGATTCTGACGCCGAACGCAGTTGGTAGTTACCTCGTGCATGTTGCTGATTTGATTTTTTCAACTTTCTTTTAGGTATATATCACACGGCTCGCATAATAAAACCCACCTCATTTGCTTGCCTTGCAATGATCCCTATTTTGAAATTTAAATTTAATTCACCGAGAGTCTACAGAGCATGACTACAATTGTAATCGAGGTTGACAAAAAGGTACTATAAGCCTATCCATGTCGACGCTATTATTCATCACAATTTCCGCCCGTACGCTACAAGCCAACATAAATATTTCAACGTAATCGCTAAACAATGTTCTATTGTTATTGCACTCAAGGCGCCGCCTGTGAGTGGAGTAGCAGTAGAGTGGCGGTGGCTACGAGAGTTAGTCACCTAGTTTGCATTTATAGCCGGCTCTTTAGTATGCGATAAGTACGGAAATTTTCAAAGACCCATTAACAAATTAGAACGTTGCGTGAGCTACACATTAGCGGCAGATTTTTTCTGCAAGCGGTTGTTTTTTATTCATTTTTTTTCCAGCGCGATGCATGAACAGCGCACGTACCCTCTCAAGTTGTAGCCTACTCTGCAAACGTCGATAAATGTACAACGCGACCTAGAAGTAGACGTTATTGCATGTATCTCTAGACATAACATGCTGCTGCTGTTGTATGCACATACCTCAACATTCATTATTAGCTTTTTGCACTGCGTGCAGCAGTAATTGTAAGAAATGTTAATCTAAGCAGTACAGTGTTAGTAGTAGGCCTACAGCATTATATTATGCAAGACTTCACTTTCGTACTTTGAAAATCAACACGCTTTTCCATCATCAAAATATTCTCTCAGCAGAGACAAAGACGGAGTAAGAGAACGACGAGGAACGAAAAATCGACTGGACGAGGAGAGACATGTGGGGTCGGGTATAAGAGGGTGGTGCATGGGGGGGGGGCCAGGGCGGTCTAAATCATCAACTCGTCCGAGAGCAAATATTCTGCGCTTTCTCTACTCGCTGAAAGGATGCGCAGTTCAAATCAGCGACGGCGGGCAGCACAACTGTCGTGTTGCCGATTTCTGTTCTCGGTCTATTTCCTGCGAGTGTTGACCGTTTGTCGCAACAATCCCGATGCGCAAAGAAAAACACGAGAAACGGGATCGTCTCCTTTAGAAACATCGCAGCCGGCTGCCAGCCCGTGTTGCGGCCCGCATTCTCTCACAACACGTGGATGTCCAAGTGTGACAAAGAACATGGGGCCCAATAATGGTTGCAAATTGGACGCGCTCGTGTTCAATGCCTTACAACCGCTTCTCTCCCAACGAGAAGAATGCCTCATATATAGCGAATATGTTAAGGGTATTCAAATGCACACAGGTGTGGTTCGTTCAGTTGCAAGCAGAAGAGTAGAATGCATTATAACGTGCATTCCCCGAATGTTATTGCTAGGTTATTATTTGCTAAGACACAGTAAACTCTATCCCCGGCCGTTTCTTTACTGCGTAAATCTGTAGGAGAGGCGTGTGTGCAGTGCACAACAAAGACAGCACGCTAGTAACGCACGCCGGCCGTAGTAATAGTACTAATAGTGCTAGTATTAGTACTAATGGTACTAATAGCCTGCGGACACACTACGCGGCTGAGCCGGGCGACTCTGTGGATTTTCAGCACGCTTCATCTCGCGCCACCTAGATTGATAGTCACTTGATTGTAAATGGCCGAAGATGGAAAAAGCTGTAAATGGTTGATTTTAAATCACGTGACAAATAATTGTGATTTGATTGGCTGATGAATTGTACAATCGGCCGACTCAATCACAGACACGGGCACACTAAGCGATTGCAGCCGGCCGGCTCAAATAATTATCAAGCATGTTTGATACGGCCGGCTCGAAAATCGACCGTGACTGCGACCGGGACACTGGACACACTAGCCGATTTTTCATGCGGTCTCGCCGGCCGGCT